CGAAGAGGTCCTGTGGGGTGGGGCAAGCTGGTGTGGGCGTGGTCGTGGTGGCACAAGTGAGAGAGGCTGGCCAAGGTGGGTGGCCGCCTGCTGGGTCAGGTCCTCCTTCTGCCGTGCCCTGGCTAGGAAGCCCGAGGGGCGTGGACACCCGAGTTCCCATCTCTTCTACATTGCGGACGACCTCATTTGGCCAGGACATCCACGTGGCCTTGTGTCCCACAGTATCTGGGGTGAGTCTAGAGCCCCAGATATGTCCCCTGCCTATTCCTTCTCTTGGGATCCCAGTGGCTCATGCAGGAGGTGAGCGTGGAGCCGAGTAGTGGGCAGGGATGCTTTGCCCAGGGAGTGGTCGCAAGGGAGAGAGCTTCAGGACCTGACATGCTGGCCAGGGCTGGCTGTGGGGTCTCACTGTGGGCAGCAGGAGGTGATCACTGCTGTCCCCTCCTACCTGGGAGCTGCTCCACAGGGCAGCAGTGACTCCTCTGCTCATCCAAAGAAAGATGCCAGGCGGTGTCCTTGGGGGCCCTAAGTTAGACTTGGGCACTGATGGGCAAGGCCATGCCTGAACCCTGATGTTGGGGATAACCAGAAAAGAAAAAGTCCACTGTTCAGGACCCTTCAGGAGCAGGCGTGGGTGATTCTCCTGAGACCCGAAAACCGAGGCCCAGGCTCTCTGTACTTCAGATGCCTCACTGCACCGTGGGTGCCCATGTCATCCTGGGGAAGATCCAGCAGGAAGGGCTCTGGGCAGGTGGGCTGCATCTCCTCTGGAGGGCAGGGCTGTGCAGGGTAGGATGGGCCTGTCTCACTGTGGGCCACCCAGGAGCCAGAGGGCGCTGGGCTTCAAGCCTCCCTCTCACCCTCTGTCTCACCTGCAGAGGACAGTTCAGGTCTCCCTAGCATCCCCGGCATGGGCCCTGGGCCTGCTTCTCAGGGCTGGGTCTTCTTCCCCATGTCTGTGTCACCTTGGCTAGATCAGTGGGACTTGAGCAGTGCTGCAGAGCAGAAAGGGGAGCTCCTGGGATGCCACTTGCTGGCTTTCCTCCTGGGCTCTGCCCTACCACCTTCACCCTCCAGAAGATGGCAGGCAGCCCTGTAAGCTGGGACATTCTTTGTCCAGCCCCACTGGCTCTTCTGCTGGTTTTCCTGAAGCTGCTGTCTGTTGGATGTGACACAGGATGGTGAGAGCCTGCCTGGTGCAGTGGGGAACTGCCCCAGACCCACTAGCCCAGGCTGGATGCAGGTGGGAGAGGCTCCCTGAGCATTATCTTCCCCACTTGGTGCCTCAATAGGTTTCTGGAACCTTGCAGGGTAGCCCCCACTTCATCCCAGATGCAGACTTTGTCACCCTTGAAGAGCTCAGGCCACAGGAAGGAGGTAGGTGACCTGAGGATGTCCCATTGCAGGAGTCCTGTGAGAGAAGGGCATGGGTGGGGCTGGCACTTGGGAGTCTCTGCCTTTCTCTCAGCCATGAAGATCCATGGCCACTGAAAGGATGGGGCTGTGAGGTGGAATGAGGGTGCCAAGAGGGGCCCTGTGGCCAGGTAAAGCCTCACGGCACGGCCAGGTACGTGCGGTGGCCCCAACTCTCTTGCCTGTATGCTGGAGTCATGCTCCGTGGTACACGCTGGGTTAGTGCCTGTCCTAAGTGGAAGCTGCCCCATAGCCTTGCCACTAAAACACGGAACCACAGCAAGGCCTCACTGGGCCCCTGATGGCCAGGAAGCACACAGCTTTTTCTCTCTCTCTCTCTCTCTCTCCCTCATACATGCATGCAGTGCGCAGGCTCACACTCACACTCATGTTCTAGCTCCTAGCACAGTCGCAAGCTCCCTCCTCAGCCCCAGGTCCAGGTGCAGAGGCTAGTGCCACTACCTGCTAGGGAAGACTCCCAGCCAAGTGGGAGAAAGCACCAGTACTGACTGGCCCTTGCTGTGGCTGAAGCACTCCCACTCAACCCTGGGCTCTGTCAAGGTGCTTGGCCCAGGCAGCCCCATAGATGATATGTGATTCTAAGATGGTGAGGGGGGCAGGGATTTAGCTCAGTGGCCTCGCAAGCATAAGGTCCTGAGTTCAATCTCTGGTTACCAAAGGAAAAAAGATGGTTAGGCGCCCCAAAGTTAGTTGTGGGTGTTCCTTTTCCACTTCGGAAAGTCAGGGAAGAGCCCTGAAGAGGGGCAGAGCTGGAGCTGGGTTTGGGGCTGACAGAGGAGTGGGGGCCAGGTTACCCCTATGCCTAGCTCAGATGAGAATTCAGTGGGCACATTACACCCTCTGCCTGGGTCCTGGGCCAGCATCCGTGGTTTGTGTGGGTGAAGCGGGTGGGTGCCAGGAAGACAGACAGACACTTGAAGTGTATGCATGTGGCTTTCCAGCTACAAGGCAGGACATCACAAGGCCTTACTTTGTCACTCCAGTCTTCAGTGTTGAAATCAACCCTTGGGATGAGACCTTGGGGCAGGGCTGGGTCTGGACATGGAGGTACAGGCAGTGTCCCCAAAATCACAACTGCACTTTGTCTTCAAGAAGTATACAGTTGACTTGGAATTTTGTGTGGAAAGCTACCTTGTGAAAGCTTTTGTGAAACCCAAACATACCTCTGTATGGGATGCTTGTGTCCCTTAAAGGTCACATGTCAAAGCCTTAACCCCAGGGGAGAGAAAGTAGGAGGCGTCTTTGGCATCAAGATGGCGAGGTAGAGCTTCCCAAAGCCTGCTTCCTCCCCCTCTGCCAGTGGGGAAGCAGGGAACGCCCTCACTAGATCTGGATCTCACCTGTACCTGCATCTAGGACACCAGCGCCAGAACTATGAGGAAGGGCATGTGTTTAAGCTTCAGCTTGTGACACTGTTATAGCAGCCTGAACCAAGACACCCCTACCACCAAAGTTAAAAACTCTATAGAATCCCTGGCAGCTCAGAATATCACCTTGTGTGACAAGATTTGGTAGCTTTAAGAACCTTGAGAAATTTATTCTGGGTTATCCTGGTAGCCCTGAGTGCCATCACATGTGGATTGGCTTTCCTGTCACAGAGACACAACACCCAATACCCACTATGTAAAGGAGGAGGAGTTTACTTTGGCTCATGGTTTCAAGGAATACAATCCATGGTCATCTGGTTCCAAGACATTATTAGTTCATAGTGGTCAGGAAGCAGAGCAGAGAACAGCCCCTGGGAAGGATGGGTCAAGGACCAGAGAAGGTCCACAAGGTTATGCTTCCATGATCTACCCAGAGACACCCAGAAATGTGTTCTACCAATCCCATGGGCAGCTCCCAAGGCAATCAAGCTGACATTCCAGCTTAACTGTCACAACCTGTGCCCTTGTAGGAGACAGAGAAAACACCAAGAGGAGTCCGAGGAGACAAGATGGAGGTGGAGCCAAGCAGACAGAACCCAGAGGCTCCTGGAGACACAGAAGCTGGAAGAAGCAAGGAAGGATCTTCCCTGAGCTGTGGAGGGCACATCCTCTTTCCACATCTGTTAGGTTTTGAGTCTCCAAGGCTAAGCAACTATAGTTGTGTACTGTTTCACACCTATTGATCTAAATAATCAACAGAGACCCTCCAAAGACCAATATGCTTGCTCTCCAGGGCATAGTAAAAAAATTTGAGGGAAGATGAGGAGGACTGCACATCCTGAAACAGTAGTCCATGGCTGTGTGGGCCATACAGAGGCTGGACAGACACATCCCTGCAAAAGCAACCATGGGCTGGGCAGCCAATGTGCATAGCATGGCTCTGAGGCCTTTATGATCAGGCATACATGCATGAAATTACGGCTTTTACACCCACCTGGCTTTGTAAATTTATTTTTGTTAGGTTTGACACAAGTTCATTTTGATTCTGACAAGTTTCACACAATGCAAGTTCAAAACATATGGCAAGAAGACCACAGAAGGCAGCTTGACCAAACCCTAACCAGAAACTGTTCTCAATGCTACAGTCTCACCCAAAGTTTCAGACATGGCTGGGCTGGTCATGTTTCCATATGCAAGGCCCATTGCTCTGCAGAGCTCTCCCCCAGCCTGAATATATTGGAGCCCTAGGCTTATCTGTGGGGAAGGACAGAGGGTTTCCAGTCCTTCTGCTTCCCAGGAGGTGCCACCAGCAGGTTCCTGAGGCAGGAACACATAGGCCCTGGGCATCTGCCTGGCTGGCCCTTGTCTCTGGGGCCAGGGACATTAGAGGGTGACTGGGGTCAGGTTACAGTTGTCCTGAGAGGTGTCAAACCCACAGAACAGCCCACAGGTCCCAGAGCCCATGTTTTGGGGACACTCCATGGACAGCTGACCTGAAGCCACCACCTTTGCTGAGCATAGTTTTCTGGTATAGGTCAGGTGCATTATGGGTGTTGTCTGGGTGGAGAACCATATGGATGCCCTCTCTCGAGAATACCTTGTAGGAGTGAATGGAGCCAGTCTCTGACCCGCACCTCTTGCCAGAAGCCTGGAGGCCTGGACGAGACCACACACCACAGCCTGCCAGTTCCATTGGCTTACCCTATAGGGTTTCCTGTAGGGTCTCCTCTGGCTGGTGTACTGCCATCTGCGGTTGTGTACTTACTTAACCTCTCTTCCTGCAGAGGACTTTTTCCTAAGGCCTCTTTTCAGTGCTGAGGAGCCAGAAGCAAAATCTTTTTAAAATCCAATTAGCACACATTTTTGTTCATTAAATAAATGTGTTCACTTGGCCCCAATTGATTTTTCAGATATGCAGAACAATGGGCTTGGCACACCCGTTTGGGCTCACAGCCTCTTTCCTCCTCAGGACCTTTGAAGTCTTGGGGCAGCTGCACCTGGCCCTGGGTGGGGCAGAGACACACACTGAGCTCCCACCACCTCCACAGGACCTTTGGAAGTTGGCTTTCAATCTGCCGACGTGTCTATCTTCTTGGAATCCCACAGTAGGAGGCCAGTAAGGCACAGCTGATGCATAAGCCCACTTCTGTCAGCTTCCGGCTGTGGTCCCAGTGGCCCACAAATCCGTGGCTGCCCTATTCACTGGCCGCCATCTCTCTCAGCTTCCTGCGCCTGTGGGAAGGCAGGGGTCACCCTCTCTGTTCACCAGCAGACACCTGCCGTGTGCCCTGTGCTCTGCTCTGGGTGGGGGACAGGAAGTGAACTGAGGAGGGCAGAGGGCAGACAAGAGCCAGGCCTTGGGGAGGCTGCAGTTTGTTGGGGAGGCTGAGGGGATGGGGAGCAGCCCACTCAGGCTGGGGAGTGTCCTAGCAGAGAAGAGCAGGACACTGGGCTGCAGGTGTCATGCCGGCAGGAGGGAGCACTGATCAAATGCCAAGCATGAATTTGTTCTCTACCCTTCTTATCACTTCTTGCTCAAAACTGATTTTCTGTTGGTCTCCATCAGGTCCGTTTTTCCACCTAATCTTCCCTGCCTTTGGTTTTCCTCTGTTTTATTTTTTTGAGATAGGATCTTGCTATGTAGTTCTGGCTCGCCTTGAACTCACTATGTAGCCTAGGCTGGCCTCAAACTCAAGGCAATCATCTTGCCTCGGCCTCCCAAATGCTGAGATTACAGCTGTGCACCACCACACCCAGCTTCTTCCTCCATTTTTGTAACAGCCTGCACGATGCCACACCAACTAGCACAATTTACTCAATGTAGTTTATTTTTTAAAAAATTAAATGCTATGTCATTTACTGTGTTTAAAATGTCAAATGCTTAATTATTGTTCTTGAAAAGGAATAGCCATAGGTATTGGAGGAATAAACAAATATTTGGAGTGAAACTCTAAGGATGTCAACTAGACAAATACTAAAATATATAAGCAGACATTTTCAGTTCTTATAGGTGGAAGTTTTGTATACACATTCATACTTTGGTTCATTGTTCGTGAAGTATTCATTGGATTTGTGTAAGTGGCTCATTTTCTAATTCCCAAAGTGAGCTGTCATGCCCAGATTCTCCTGTGGAAAGAGTTTGAATTTCTTTGGGCAAACATCTCAGCTAGCAGAGGCTGAGTCCTGCAGTTTCCAGCCCTGCCAGCGGGGGGCGCCAGCTGTGTGAGTGAGAGCCAGTGCCTCAGCCTCCCCTGCTCTCTTTCCTGTCTTTCCTTCTTTCTTTTGTGCTGTCTCTTAGATGCACAGTGGCACCACACTGTGGTTTTAATTTTCACTTCCCTCGTGGCTGACCTTATGTTCTTTGATGAGTATGTAGTTTAGATCCTTTGCCTGTTATTTTCTTACCGTGTTTTGTTAAAGGTTGTCCTTATTTCACTTTCTTTGCAGCAATGGTGGGTGGTACTCAGTTCTGGTCTCCCCAGCTCAATGTTGGAGTATTAACATGAGGTGAGTGCCATGTTCATCCTGTGTTCTGTGACCTTGAGAGGTGTTGTTGCTGTTAATGCCTTGGAATTTCGTACATAAACAACAGGCCACCTGCAGATGGATGGCTTCACTGTGTCTTTCTCTGCTTTGTGGCAGTCACTGGAAATCTTGGATGGTGAGCACAGAAGCCCTTTTTTTTCCCATCTCAGGGAGAAAGCACCTGTCCCCGCCATGGGTGATGTCAGGTGTTTTTAGGAGTTGAGCTCCCTCAGTTTAAGGATGTTGCCTCTTGCCCCAGGTTTGCTGAGTCTATGGGGTCAATAATCCTGTCTCCTCGCATTGCTGGCCTTAGCTACTTACCTCTCCTCTCTCATTGGTCTGGTTAAATGTTTATCAGTTCTATTGATCTTTCAAAGAGGCAGCTTTTAATTTTATTGATTTTTTTCTATAGTATCTTTCTGTTTTTAATTTCATTGTTTTCTCTTATCTGTTCTTTCTTGCTCTCTGTTTAATTTACCCTTTTCAAAATATTTTTGTAAGGTAGAAACTTAGGTTGATTTCAAATTTCTTTTGTTTGTTTTGTTTTGTTGAGACAGGGTCTCACTATGTAGTTCAGGGTGGCCCTGAACTCATTATGTAACCCAAACTGGCCTCAAACTCATTGCAATCTTCCTGCCTCAGCCTCTCAAGCTCTGGAATTACAGGTGTGCACAACCACACCCAGCTCTAATTTTTTTGTTTTAAATATAAACATTTATTCTTCTCTAATTAAATGCTTCTAATATACACAATTAATTCTATACATTTTCCTCTGAGCATTAACTAGTTTTGATAAGTTGGATTTTTATTTTCATCTGTCAGATAATTTCTAGCCTTCTGGGATACACTTCTCTTCCTGCCTTATCTGAAATAATGTTTAATTTCCACATATTTGAGGTTTCCAGAATCATTTTCTGCTACTCATTTCCACTTTAGTTCCACTATGGGTCCCTGTTTCAGAGGTGTCAAGGTGTGTTTTATGAGCCCGGGCAGGGTCTGTCCTGTGTCTGTGTCAGGGTGGTTTGGGACCTGTGTTTTGGTTGGATGTCCACAGATGTCAGGTGTCCAGCTGGTTTGTGGTGCTGGTCGCTTATGTGCATATGCTGATTCTCTGTCAACCTTGCTGTCAGTTACTGGGAGGGCAGTTGTGATGGACTGATTTGTCCTCAATGTCTCTGTGCAGAAGCCCTTGTCACCAGAGTGACTACATTTGGACACAGGGCCCCCAAGGAGGCAGTGGACACCATGTGTGTCCTAAGGGTGGCCCTGACCAGATGGGACAAGCTCTCCTAGGAAGAGGACCTCCATACATGAGCACTGAAAACTGTGTGAGGCACAGTGAGTGGACAGTGTCTGCAACCCATGGAGAGAGGCCCCACCAGGACCAGCCCTGCCATCACCTCGACCTGTGGCTTCCAGGCTCCAGTACTGTGAGGGCTCAGCTTTTGTGTTGTCTCAGCCCCATCGAGGTGTTCTGGGCAGCAGCCTGTATAGACCTTCAGGTCTATACAGCACCTGCAGCTCTGTTCCTAGGTGGTCCATGAGCACCGTGGGGTCCTCCTGTGAGCTGGCCTGTGGGTGCTGTGTGGTGTCCCTCTGTGTTCCTAGGGCCTTTTGCCTCTCTAGTGTCTGCTGCAATGTACCTTCTTTCATCTTAGTTTACCTATGCTTTATATTTAAAGTGGGTTTTGTAGGCAGCCTGTAGATGACACTCCTTGCTTTTGTGCCGTTTTGATAATTTCTATCTTTCCATTGGTTTTGAACATTCACTGGTGTCCAGTATTGACATATCTGAATCTAAGTCTGCTATCTCTTATGTTTTCTATTCTGTTTTTTTCCCCTTTCTACTTTTTTATGGACTATTGAGATTTTCTTAGTAGTTCATCAAATTGATTTATTGACTGTTTTTTACTGTTTCACTTAGTAGTTCCTTTGGCAGTGACTGTGAGGATTGTCATACACATTATCTTCTCACCCTGCTCTTCAGTCCACAGGGAGCCAGCATGAGACCCTCTGAGCTGGCACAGAGGCCTGTGACCACATGAGTCTCTTCTGCCACTGAGTGTAGTTGTGCTCCGTGCTGCTACACAAGTGAAAAATTCCACCATCCAACATCCTAATGCTGCTTCTGACCACCACATATTTTCAACACGCATCTCTGTACTATCTACAAGGAACCATTTTAAATATAGTGGCATTAGTGGTTTAAAAATAAGAGGATGAGCCAGGCAAGGTGATGCACACTTGTAATCCCAGCGCTGGGGAGACTGAGACAGGAGGATCACTGTGAGTTCAAGGGCAGCCTGGGCTACAGTGAGTTCAAGGCAAGCCTGAACTACAGAGAAAGACTCCATCTCAAAAATAAAAATAAAAACAAACAAATAAAAGAATGAAAATTGATACACCGGACAAGCACCAATGAAATAAACCCCAAATGGTTCTGTGAATGTCAAACAGAATGGAATTTAGAGCAATTAAATTTTCCAGAGGAAGAACATAGAAGAGTGGTCCCTGATGCTCCCTGGACATATTCTATCTCTCATGCCTCTTCCCTTCTGGCACTCTGTCCCCTCTGATGTCCTTTCTGCCTGGAGATTTTCACACCCTCTTCTGAAGCAGGTGCAAGGGCAAAGGTTCTGCTCGTGTTTGTGTTTCTTCACTGAGAGTGCCTTTACCTTCCTTTGTTTCTCATGGGTATATTTATGCATTCTGGCTTTCCAGTTCCCTGGCTCTGCCTTTCAAACATTCTTCCAGGGGAGCCTCGGTAGTGTCTGAGAAGGAAGTACTGCCCCTGGGGTCTGGTTCCCACAGGGAGCATGTTGCTGTTCTCTTGACTGCTTCCTGGCAATGAGTTAAACAATGTGGACAGACACTCAGTTTCCAACATCATTCTGCTGAACACCTATCACCTATGCCTAAGCCTTTCTGATGCATGTGGACCACGGGAGCATGCCAATCCATCAGAGTCCTTTGGGGAAAAGCAGAAACAGGTCCTAAGGAGACAGAAGAGGGAGCTGGCTGCATGGGGCTGTGCCCTAGGGTTTGTCCAAGACCAAACATTCAGCACCCGGAACTTGTTGGGAAATAGGGTCTCTGCACATCAAGTTAGGAGGAGATTGCACTGGAGAGGGCGTGGCTGTCATCCTTATGAGAAGAGGGACACACAGAGGGCAGACAGCCAGTGGGGACAGGGGCCAGTCTGGCAGGGCTGCCATGGCTAGGAGAGCCAGGAACACTGGTATACCAGGAGCTGTAGGAATCAGGAAGGCTTTGCCCAGGGCCTTGGCAGAGCATAGTTC